TTGCTCATTATAACTATGCACTTAGTTAGTTTATTGAATACCTATGAGCAGAAGACTTTCAAAGAATTCATGTATTTTCACTTTATAATCAATAGAGCCCCCCCCCCAACACCAGAACCCCTGACCCTGGGGCCATAAAATTCACAATTTTGGTAGAGGCGCTCTTGCTCATCATAACTATGTAAGTAGTTTGTTTATTTAATAAACAGGAGCAGAGAAGAAGATTTTCGAAGAAATAATGCATTTTCAAAACATACTTATTTAGCCCCACCCTAGCACTAGAACCCCTGACCCCAGGGCCATGAATTTCACAATTTTGGTAGAGGACTCATTGCTGATTACAATCATGCAAACAGTTTGACTGCTTGATGTCCAGGAGTAAAGAAGAAGATTTTTAAAGATTGCATAAATTTTAGTGGTTTTAGCCTTACCCCTCAGGCCCCAGGGGGGCAGGGATCATGAAATTCACAATTTTTGTTCCCCTTCACCCATAGATGCTTTGTGCCAAATTTGGTTGAAATTGGTTCAGTGGTTGCAGAGAAGAAGCTGAAAATGTTCAAATGTTAACGCACGACGAACGACGAACGACGAACGACGGACGACGAACGACGACGGACGAAAACAGATAGCAATAGGTCACCTGAGTTTACTCAGGTGACCTAAAAATTGTTTTGTTGTCAGGACAGGTACAGTAGTGGAAGTTTCATCATAAGCAATATTAAATTAATAACGATTTCGAAAGTTATAAATATAATTATTTATATAGCACTGCATTTCCTTAAATATGAACAATGGTTTTTCTACGTAACCTTTACCATGTTTTTTCACTCACAACGCGGTTATATATCGTCCAGTCAGGATGTCAATCATTTGTGGTTCCATGCATATTATATACATAATTTTTTTCTCGTTTTATATTTTTTTCTGATTTTCTTGTAACCTTTTTTACAACATGCTACCTGTGTTAAGTAAACTCTTTGTACTTAGTTAGCAGGTTTTTGACAGGATTTTTTTTTTTCACTACATTAGACTTCCCGTGTGGCACTTAAAATGTTTGTTAATTATTGACACATTTGATTAATTAAAACGCATAGATCAGTAAATTCCATCCGCATATACATATTCGGTTTATAAATGATTTATCATTCCAGCACTGAGAATAAAAGTAGGATAATCATGCCGCCAGCGCCACCATCATCACTCTTTACAAAAAAATTGATATACCCAGCTCATATTTATCTCTCATCATATATTTAAAAGTTTTAATTAATACATCTGTAAATTTTTGGATCATTCCCTCAACACTGTTGACAGCGTTTGTCTAATACATGTATAAACATCAGCGTTTAATAGCGTTTTGATTGAATTCAATCTACATCTATACCGTAGAATGTCCTCAGAAATTTTTCTCATATTACTAATAATAAGACACACTTGCTGTCATGGAAGTTAAACAAAGTATGTACAATGTAATCTATCATTATTACTGTGCAGCCAGGTGTTGTTAATCAATCGCGGGCATTCGTGGCTAGTTATCATGACGCTTTGGCGATCATAGCCCTCCACAACGTAGATTTAATTGAAACCAGAATTTTTTTTTCTTTTTTCCATATTAACACATTGATTATTTTCATTTAAAAAGCATCTGTAATATAAACGATATATAATTTAAACATTGGTTAATCCGGAAATTTTCGCTCTGACAATTAGTGAACAGGTACAGTCGTGGATGTCCGGTACCAGCAGTGCCGAGTACAGTCGCGGATGTAGGCTGACAGACACTGATGCCTTTACTTCAGTATTATTTACGGCGGTACATAATTGATAATAATCTTCTATTTTGTGTTTATCAGTCATCTTGAAAATACATGTCAGATGCAACATGGCTTCTACTGTCGATTGCCGCGCGATGAAAATCAATGTACATGTATAAAAACATCCTTAAACTTCGAAAGAAAAACAAACGCACATTTAAAATTCCTTCGAAAACATCAAAGAAAAAATACTGACCAAGTAAAGACAAATATTACAACGATTTTATAGAAGAAAGGTTTCTAAACTTTTGGAAGATTTAGGTGTCAGCTACGCCAATTAACGGTTATGATATACTTGTGCATATGTATCATTAATTAAATTTTACTAGGAAACACAGGCATAGATCTATAAATATTCTTCAATATTTTTGAATTTTTTAAGGAATGTTGATACGTCGATTTTATTACGTGGAATGTTGCATTTACTTGCATGTATTTGGCATTTTGTATATTCACTAAAGAATATATCATAAATAAATCATTGAAAAAAAGTGATAATTAAATGTTTCTATGTCAATGAGGAGAAAATAATTAATTTTTTTTCCTGAGGCCCATGTAAGTGTTTTGAAGTTTTGCTCATAAGTTAGAGAAATAAAATATCCTTTTAAAGATCAACTCGGACCTGGTTCGTTACGAGATCAAATTCCTTAAAGCCTTATTCGTTACCATTGAATAACCTGCAAATATCCCTGAAATAAAAAAAAATAAATGTCACAAATAAAAAAAAATGTCGAAATAAAATTGTGAAGAATTTCGGAAAAAAATGCAGCGAGGTAGTTTTTTTTTCATGCTTAACAAAAACAACTTTATCAATTAATGATATTATCTATTTACCTATATAGTATTCTATCCTTTATAAATTGAATATCTGGACAAATCAATAAAAATGGTCATTTCTTATACGTTACATGTTATGTGACTATTTTTTTTTTTAGATTTTTTTTCACTTTTGATAAGAAGAGTGTAAAATTAAATTGTCGTTGGTATGACATATTTTTAAGAAGAAAAATGAATTGTATGCAGATGGACGAGTCACAATTAAAGACAGACTCTCTTCAAGGATCCTGAATCCGCCGATGGTTTGCTCTTATAATTCGGTAAAACGCCGGAAACGAAATGGAATTATCAATTTAAAGTGTCACTTGAAAACATTTCTTCAACCGAGTCATATTGTCCAACTCAAGAAAATCTGTATAGTTGTCATGACATTACAATAAAGATTGATTATATGCTGTTTAACGAGAATATTTAAGCTCACCCATATTTCATTGTACTCCGGTGCAGGGTCCTGAATTTAGATCTATTCTTGGCACTTATCAGAGTAGTATAGTAGTGAGTGTTCTTTATCGTTACAAAGCCTACCATGTCACGGGGCCTCGCTTTTGAGTTCTCCTTTGAAAGATCAGTGACCTTCACATCTAACACCAGATGCTTGGCGAAAGAACAATCAATACTTATATTCATGTCCTAGATTTAGTGCGTTGCGGCAAACGAGAGTCGAGCCAGGACTTTCTCTGTTTCTCATTATCTTATGTACACCCTAACAAAAGGTGTCCTTGACCGATTTCCACTTAAGGAGAAATCAAATGATTTACTTGTTTGACATAAAGTCGAAATATGATTGAATGCAGAAAACATAACTTCAGATACTTTTTTCTGAAGGGTTGCATCTTCTGTAAGTCTCATTTTTTGAAGGAATAGCATAAAATCACAGGAGTTCGCGTACCTATCAATTTAACCGAAATTTTCAGTAAATAAAAAAGGATACGTAATACCTATAATAATAATACAAGGAGTGCAACGCATTTTACGTCACCTTGGTACCCCTCGCTTAATATCAAGGCTGTCGCAAAATGAATCTTCAATCGAAAATTATAAAACACAAACCAATATTTTTGGAAGGGACCATTGTTTACGGCTCTTTATGCATAAGATTTCAAACTCATGTTTTACAGCAGCAGCGGTGACATTTCTCCTCAACTTCGCTCAAATATCCGTTGTCCGCTACACTATGACGTGACGTCACGGGTGCGTCCATTTACCCAAAAAGTAATAAAACTGCCTGAAATGCTAATCTAGATGATTGAGATCATATGCGCAAAAAAACCAGAGACAAGTTGGTAGACATTCAAGAAAATTTAAAACGGGGAGGTACAAGTACTTGTACTCGTATCTAAACGCAATATAGTTTCCTCTAGTTAATTGTGTATGATTGTTTATTTTTGTTCCTTTTGGGTAAATGGACCGTCCGTGACGTCACGTCATGGCGTCGCGGACAAGCGTTGCACTCCTTGTGTTATTATTATAGGTATTACGTATCTTTTTTTTATTTACTGAAAATTTCGGTTAAATTGATAGGTACGCGAACTCCTGTGCATAAAATATGGCGGAATATTTTGACGTTGGTAAGAGGGTTGGGCCAGAAAAACGCCATTCCGTTCCAAGACAACGTAGTATCTGCTTTTCATTAGACAATAATTATCGTTTAATTGTTAATCTAACATTTAGCTAAATCACTTAAAAACTTCTTTCGATTTAACTAGAGTCATACAGTCCCAGATACATGTACCGGTATCAGCAAAGGGGTTTGTAGACCCCTCGTATTTGACGGACCAGAATCTTCCTCAACAGTGTTTGTTCATGTAGATCAAATTTTTCTTTGTTTTCATATCTAACTTCATTGGAACTTGTGTTTCTTTTAAGACTTTGTAATGCATCGATGACATATATTCCCCGTGTTTTCTTTTTTTTCCTGCATTGCATTCGCTTGTTGATATATATATATATATATATATATATATATATATATATATATATATATATATATATATATATATATATATATATATATATATATATATATATATATATATATATATATATATATATATATATATATATATATATATATATATATATATATATATATATATATATATATATATATATATATATATATATATATGTTTTCGTGGCTGAGTAAATCACCATGACGATGAAGAAAATGTCTTTACAGGCGAAATTTTAAAACAATGTACACTAAAAAGATTGTGTCTGACGCTTATGTAGAAGCTCAAAGAGAGGAATTATGCCAAGCAAAGTGAAATCAAAATCTTATTTAAGTAATCGATTAGACAATTTATTAATATGATATAACAAAAGTTCGTCAAATAATGTGTTTCATTATCTTATTAGAGTAATGGGTGACGTCCCTGGGCCGTCTACAGCTCCTTACTTCAATCAAAGGAAGGCAACAGAGAATTTCTCCCGTCTGTGTCAGCTGATCATGACGATCTGTAGCGACTTGTTCAGGGACATTTTAAGTCGTTTCATCAAACCGGCTGACCTGAGGTCAGAGCTGGACAACAACAGAACGGAGCTGGAGGGAATCATGAACGCTCAACAGATAAAACAGATCTATCTGGCGTCCGGTTCAGTTACTTTGACTGCTAAAGAACTGGACATCTCTGTATTGTATATCATATTGAGGAACATTTGTAACATACCCGAACATAGAGCAGGATGGGGTAATCCTCCTCTCAATGGCGACAAAGGATTATCAGCCTGCATAGAAAAGATCAGGATCGAGAGAAATTTAATCTCCGCTCATTCTGTCATTGCTGCTGTTGATGACATAATGTTTCAAGAGCACTGGGACGAATTGAAAGACGCCATTATAGAAATTGAAAAGCAGTCTGTCGGTGGGGACATGTATGAGAGAGGCGTAAACGAGTTATTATCTTGTGATCTTAACCCAGGAAGATCCAAGCTGTATGTGGCGGAATTCAAGAAAATACAAGGTATTAATTAAGATTGTGTATTAATTTACAAATATCATTATCTTTCTAGTAAATGTAGTAAATCAAAGGTAAAAATAAACAAAAAAACATTTGTGTTTCTTCTGAACCTTAATAGCATTCAATTATCTTGACAGAAAATATGCAGATAAAACAAGGTATGTTTCAATTAAATTGACAAGTTATGAACAGATATCAATATAATGTGTTGTTAGAATAAATTGAAAGAAAACCTTATTATTCTGAACTGCACTTATCAGATAAGTGATCAAGAAAAGCTACATATTATTACAACATACAATGTACTTTTTTTAAAATGATAATAGCCTATTCTTTTAGAACATATTACCTAACTTGAAATTATTCAATTAATTGATACAGAGAGAATTGAATGCCTTGAAAGTAAAACAAGGACAGCAAAGCGTGAGTTTTGTATTTTTTTAATGTAAAATATTCGTATCAAATTTGATCGTGAAAATCATATTTTCTAAAAAGAAAAGAAAATACATTTCCAACATTATGTTTCATATTCTATATACCTGAATATTATTCTAACTTCGTTTATAATATATAACTGAAAAAAAAAAACTCATCTTCTGGACTTTTAAATCAAAATAAAGAAATATTACGCCTTTAAGATTACATTACACATTTTTGTCAAACAATATAATAATTGTGTATGATCCAATTTACTTTACAGGTAAAATAGCTGTCAAGAAAAGTAAGATATTTGAAATATTACATAAATTTGACCATGATAAAAAACATGGCAATGTTAAACCGTTTTGAATACTTCATAAGTACATTAATTTTAAAGTACCAAATCTCAATTTGTTGTCGGAAAATTATCCATGCATATATTTGCATTTATTATTGATTTTGTTTTTCAGAAGAGATCAAGAAGCTGAAGACAACTACATGCAGGGCAAACAGTGAGACATTTTCTTAATTATATGCAGACCGTTAATATTTTAAAGAAACAGAAAATTGTAATGTATCAGAATTTGTAAAGTGAGTTGAAAAAGGTTTGAATCATCGAATTAGATCATTTTATGATCAGAGTTAATGATCAGAGTCAATCAGAGTTCAAATTTTAGCCAACCAAATGATTAAAGTTATTAAACCAATAAGTATTAATTGAACAGATGCAAATATAGTTTAAATTCAGGATCAATCTAGCTCCGTCTACTTTTGGTGTAATTAGGGCTCCGCAAGGATTTGCAGGTGCCCTATAGTAATCACTCTGTCTGTCTGTCTGTTCGTCTGTCTGTCCGTCTGTCATTCTTCCGTCCACAAATTTCCTGTTTTTTCCTAATAATTTTTTTATGGTAGCCCAATTAAGTTCAAATTTGGTATGGCAGTTCAATAGGCAAAAAGACATATTTTGATGCTAAGTTTGTCTCTCTATGTCCTCTGGTTTGTAGCTAGGGTGGTGGGATAGATTCATTAACTATGCATAAGAATGAATGGGCAACTTTTTTAATGGTTGCCCAATCAAGTAGAAATTTGGTATGGTAGTTCAGTGGGCAGAAATACACACTTTGATGCTAAGTTTGGTTCTCTATGTCCCCTGGTTTGGAGCTGGGGTGGTGGGGTTAATTCCTTAACTTTGTATAAAGGAATGCTTTGGCAAAGAGAGATAACTGCTGAAGATGTTCCCATTCAGTAAACTGAATGCTGCCATGAGTCCACTCCCTCGGGATTAATTAGCTTTCCTCCTGAAGAAAATCCAGAGCATTATCTTTATTTGTCACATTGAGATGAATTACCACCTCTGTCTGCAAATGAAGTTTGTTTTGAAGTTAAGTCAATCTGGAATGCTATGGACACTCTGAAATGTGGATTTGAATATGAAATTTTATAATTTATTTTTTTTGTTTGTTTTATATTTATGATTTCATTGAATTCTAAAAACAAGAAATAGATTAAAGAAGAGTTTGTGATTTACTTTTTTTCACTTTATGTTATTTCAAGAATATTATCAATTTTTTCACTTTATGTTAATTCAAGAATATTATTAATTTAAAGGTAGTTGACGTATAAAAACCCCATTCTATCATTAATACTGAAAAAGTTCTTATTATAACTTTAGAAGAAAATGATGAGAGAGGTACAATTTATCCCTTGGGATTAATTATCTAGCCTGCTGCAGAAAATTTAGTAGGCTTTTCTTTATCTGTCACTTTAAAATTAATGAAAACATTTGTCTGCAACTGCTGTTTGATTGAAGTTAAGCTAAGCCTTCATGTAATATTTGCATCTTCATTGAAGGCTGGCATTTTATATCACACAAGCTTCATAATTGTTTAAATATATATTTAATGTTAAGTTGTTCTTTACTGCCTAATGTAATTACGAGGGTATTATTTTCAGGTTTTTGAATATTCAGGAATTATCTTGAAATTTTAAGAATATAGTTCCTGTTGCTTATTTTTCGTACATTTTTTAATCATTCTTTAAGCCGCGCCCTTTTAATTCTACCCCATGGCGGGGCCCTTGCTGACTGGTCAGTTTTCTAGTTCTTTGATAGAGTTAGGTGACATGTGTTAGGTTCATTGGCTGTGTCGGGAAACAACAGAACTGTTAGTTAGACCACTCAGCTCAGGGACCTAGTTTGGTAGTGTCTTTGTGACTATCTATGTTGTCTTGGTAAATTAAACTTGTGACTTATCAAAAGTAAAACGGTGTCCTTTAGATAGCTATGGTGTCTTCGGTGACTTTAGCTTGTGTCTTGGTGTCTTAATAAGTATCTGTGACTTTGTGACTTTAAGAGTGTGTTTTAGGTAGTTGCAGACTGTTTCGGAAAACACAGAACTGTTAGTAAAACCACTCAGTCTGCAGCTACAGGGATAAGGTAATAGGTTTGGTCATTTATTTGATAAAATATTGGAGATTCTTCTGATATAGTTCGTTTTTATTTAGTTTACTTATCATTATCTAGATAGGACCAAGCAAACATGTGTATATGTACTTTGTAAAACGTTACAAAACTCATATATATACAGATAATATCTATAGAAATTAAACATATGTATTTACTGTTGTTCACGAGTATATTAATATATGACCGTATAATATATCATCATCTATCGTAAACATTTCTTAAATATTTTATCTTTGAAGTAGCTGCAAACCTGTAGCGTTATGATTTTACACATAAGTAGTTGTGTGAACCAATGAGAAGGAAAATAGCCTTTTTGTAGAATTTATTTAACAGTTTTTAAATTATCAAAGAATACAAACAATGATCGTATAGTGATTAAAAGCAAAGAAAAATATCATTAAATGGCCAGTGATCTTATAGTGTCTCTCGATCCCTCCTAGAACGTTGCTCCGAAGAGCCCTGTTCCGTGATGTGCGGCCCAGAATTTCTCCACTTTCCAGAATTAGACAATCAACTACCTTTCAATTCCAAATTCTAGACACATTCTTTAACCAATCTGTATATTTTATTCACCTCACAACCCTTTACAGTCGGCTCTACAGGTGATAAATCGCTGGATTTGAATTGTCTGTCGGATTGCAGAAACTTCAAATCAAGCAAGGTTTTCGTCTGTGGAGTCGAATATAAGCCTAATATATAAAATCATAATGTTACTGTTCTGTAGCTATCTTTGAAGATAATATATTATTTCTGTTGTGTTTCAGACCAGTTGGCTCTAAAGAAAAGTAAGTTTGTTTACACATTCTCATACACTTTATTATATATGTTAAAAAGAATTCTAAAATTCAGATTTAATTTTATGTGAATATAATATAATTTTGTTACTATGATGACACGATGTATATCACTCTATGATTGTATGATAGAATAACATGATTTTGATTCCACATTTGGTAATCCAACTCATACTTGTAGTTTATTTCCTAAAGATGAAATTCTTCAAAATCACATTTTTAGTGTTTAATTCCTAACATTCCAGAAAAAAGTTCCATCTTTCTAACCTTTACTGGATTCCTAAACTTCCAAAAAATCCTTTAAACATTGGCGGCTCCAGCAAATGCTTTCCCAAGCTCCTATCATTACCACTTAAAAGTCTTAATTGCTTTAACCCCTTCTCTACCGCATCGGTCAATATGACCGATAGCGCGTTAAAACACGACATCGCGATAACAGAATCTCCGTATCTTTTCAATAATAGAATAAAGGTATATAATCTATATATCATCTTTTAGGAAATTTTCTCTACTTTCAGACCCTGTAAAAATTTCGTACCTTAAAAATCGGTAATGAATAGATTTTACGTTTTAAAGACATTCGTGACTTTTTAAAAATGACGCTATTTTCCAAAGCAAGGACGATTTTCCCGACGATAGATATGTTTTTTCTAGATTAAATCATTAAGAAAAAATTAATATGTTTAAAAGGGATATTTTCTCTGCATAAATTATTGCTTTTACTATTAGATATTTTATAAAAACAAGAATTTCCTTCCACGCATGTGATTTTTCTGGGTTTTATTCGTAATATTTAAATTAACCTCAGTTTTACCTTTATTTCTATATTGAAATATGGAAAACAAAATACAGCTGGTAAAAGTAGAAAAAAAAATTCCATTTCAACAAGCCTTTACTTGTCTCTTTATGTTCGGTATTTTCTGAATTACCATAGTTTGAGTTTTGAACCTCTGTGTATTTTTTTGTAGAAAATTTGAGTGTTATCTATATTTAACGTCAGGGTCGTTTTCGTTGCGCCTCGATCATTCGGAACAACGTGTTTAGTACTATTAAATTTAATTAAATATTTTTATTTAAATGAATGATTATAAAAAATAATTGTTTTAAAATAATAGTAATCATCTTTACACCTTTAGAGAAATGTAGTCTTTTTGTTATTTATGAAACGTGCTATTAGTTCATTGTTGATAAAAAGAAAAACGCTGATTCCCAAAAGTCTAACATTACGTCCAAAAAAAAAAAAAGATTTCATTGCTGTTTGCTTTAAAATATATTCCCAATATGATATACTATTAAACATGAAATTTACAATAAATAAAAAACAACAACTTTGAAACGCTATTCTGAGTATTCTCGCATTCACACGACTCATTACGGTATGAGTTGATATTAATCGAGACTAACACGTGTTTCCGCTAAAGCAGTAAACAACAACAACTTCAGTCTACATGGATTTACGATGTAAAACACGTCAATTCATCAGATGTGACTGGTCTTTTCTTTGGCATTAGATGGAGTAAGTATTGATTGAAAACTTTAAAAGTGTTTAACAGTACATTGATACAAATGAAAAGGCATAGACATCCAAGGACCTCTATGTACGTGCATAATATATATACTGTACATAGTTGTGTAGATTGGTCTCTAGCTAAACGCGTGCATGTGATCAATATCAATATGAAGCCGTTGGGTGATTTGACATCGTCGGTAACCCACATATGATACTTTTCAGTTCTTTCAACGATCACAAAAATTGTTTGTTTTTTTCGATGACAAAATTGTTTACAATACAATGTCACTGATTTCTCAATATGGAATACTGTGTTGACTGATCAATGAAATATTTTTGTTCGATGTACTCCGACCCACATTTTTCAAGATGGGTAGTTAATTTGTTAATTTTGGGGTGGTTTACACTGCTGAAATATTGATAAATGTCATAAAAATAAGAGATTTCTTAACAGTACACATTTGATAGCTACACAAGTGTATTGCTATGAAAACATGAAAAACAATCAGTCAAGAAGCATCCTATAGAAATTATAACTCTTTGCTTTAAAATGAAACAATTTTAGTAAATTTAAGAAGGAAAATAGAGGGCCTGAAGTGCTGAAAAAATTATTGGGTAGGGGCAATTTTCACAGGTCGTCATTCGTCAGTGTACATCAAACAAATCAATTTTTATATTGTTGGCCTGAGCATCTAAACCCTGTTTTGCGATGACGTTCGAACAAATTCGACTTATTCTTGGGTTGTTTTGAAGTAGGAAAGTTTTTATTACCATTTCAAAGAAAAATGAAACTTGACATAATTAACACAAACACATAATTTTTTTTAGCAAGTGTGTTGTGTGCTGGTACCAAATCCTCAGAACTTTCATCTGTGAAGTCCTTCTTGCTAATCCCACCACTGGCCATCATGCACAGAAAAGATCATGATGTGGAGGACATAGGTGCTTGGTTATCAGCTGTAAGTCAATTTATTGCAGTCAAAATTCCTTATTGCCACTGGATGGCTATTAGTCAACACTTTTAGGTACATGAGTCACTAGATTAGTTCAGTGGTTCTATAGTCATGAAGTAAGGAGTTAATCCTTGCATCGCAGGTTCGAATCTTACTATGAGACTTGGAGACCTGTCCTTCTGATAAAACACTATAAACATATCTTATCTTACATTATACTTATAAAAACCTATTAGGGTGCCTTGTTGCAGTAGGTGCTGGCATGAAAAAGATCCCTCACACCTCAATAGTCGTAAGTGCCGACCTACAAGTGGTGGCAACTCCATGTGAGAGAGAAATTCTTTAGCATATTCTGAAAAATCGTGGAGCAGATTGATCTAGAATAAAAAATTGACGGAATGAATTAGTAATCAGAAGGATTGAATTGCGTAATTTGAGATTGCGGATTATAAACCAAAGGAATGAATTGATAATTCTTGGAAACGGATTGTATAATTCAAGATCTCAAATTAATTTTTACTTATTTTGAAAATATTTTGAAGTGTCCCATCATTACTTTCATATCATCTAATTAAATTTAGATCTATCTGCTTCACAATTTTTCTTTATATAATACAGGTCTGCCTTTAGTCAGATTACCAAATATGCTATTTGTTTTGGTTCAGTAATTCAACCATGATGGTTTACTACAAGGTTGTTGAATATTTAGTCCTGATACATTGGCTTAATAATATAATTTAACTACTTGAATCGCATTTATAAATTTTCATTTCAAATGGAAAATAATATCAAAGTATTAATTGTATCATTCGTAATTTTATTTATAAATGTAAATTCACATATCTGTTTAAAAATATTTAAAACTTTTACAGTATAGAAGCTGATCCCTTGTGCAGACAAGTCAAAGAAGAATTTCCTCCAGTCTTTCAGAGAAGTGGCAGTTGATGAAAGAATGGAGGCACGAAGTAAAAGTGCTCTGGTCTTCAAAATTTTGTGGAAGATTTAATCAGTCTGATCTGGAATTCATTTTGCAATATTTCGGGATTTGTATATTTGAACATAAACGTAACATTTTTCAACCTATTGATAAAACAGTTTTGCATTAATTGCAATTGCAATGTATTATTATTTCCTTTCAAGATGGCATGTCAATTCTTTATTGTACCCCTTAAGCTCTGTTATACCAGTAAGATCTTGCAATGAAATCATTCAAGTTTATTTTTACTTCTTATATTAATTTTTGTTTGCAAATTTTGTTGTTCGCTGTTTTTTTAAGTCAACTATTAGATGATTTTTTCCATGACTGTAACATTTCAAAACTGATATATACTTACAATTTTAAGTAGAAATTGAATTCTGTACTGATTTGACCTTGAACCCCTAAGAACAAGAGTGTCAAGGTCAATACTGTATACAAAAATGTTCTTTCATTTTTTGGGGCCCATATCTTACAAACAGCATCACGGAAAATACAAAAAGTGTCTAGAATGTGTCCAGAATGAGAAATAACAAACATGTACATGTACATGTATATAGTTTTAAAAAATTGAAAATGCTGTTGCTTAGCAACCACTTAAAGGTCATTAAGCAAAAATTTGAACTAAAATGATGTATGGACATTGCAGTTCTGATCCCGTCTCGAGAGTATATTCAGAATTTTTCATTTCAGCATCTACTGTGTAAAATTTTAGCAAAAATATTGAGAAGCATTGAAAAAAAAAATGATGAAATTTTTGCACTTATTTGACCTTTGACCTCCTAAAAATAGTACTAATGAGGTCAAACTTTTGAAAAATTTATCTGCTGTTATGTCCCTTGTAATTTTATGGCATTATATCTAACTTTAATATGTGCTGGGATGCATGAATGTGTCTAGGATGAGTGAAAAACAAAAATTTCTGCCCGAAAATTGAAAAATTCTGCGTTGCTTAGCAACCGCATTTAAGGAAATGTATGCAGAATTTAAAAAAAAGTTTATGTGTTTCATGAAGTACAGTATAATGCCCATTTGTGGGTATATCCCAAATTTCCTATTTCAACATACATCATTGTAAAAATTTAGCTTGAAGATTAAAAAGTATCAAAAAATTCCATAAAATTTTGCACTTAATTGACCTTTGACCTCTATTTTTACTAATAAGGTCAGTCGTTGAGTATCTGAATTGTCATAAAATATCATCTCTAAGAAATTCCCTACAATATGGTATGCATTATACCTAGTATTCTCCATGAATAGAAAAGTTAGAAATAATATAATAATGTTATGTCAAAAGGTCTCTAAAATCACGTAAAATGTGCCGGTAGAGAAAGGGTTAAAGGAGAAAAATCGGACATAGTTTTATTTAGCATATTATACAAGTATTGTAATTCAAATGTAGATTCTCAAAAAAAAAAATTCAAAAGATTTTCTAGAATTTTTTTTTTTTAAATCGATATTTTTTTTTAAAATCAGTAACAGGGAGACATATGACATTTCTAAACTTTAAAACCATTCCTCACGAAAGATTAAATTGTTAGCTTTTTATATTATAGACAGCTGCTTCGTCAATTAAAATGGAATTTGAAATCATTAGTGTCTTGTGATTGGTCATCTACAAAATTTATAAAAAATCACTCTGATTTTGCACATAGGTTATCTGAAATTGATATACTAAAACGAATGATAAAATTTCTCATTCACAACATCATTTTTTCTTTGGATACGAGCTCTTCAAACAAACGGTTGGGAATGATATCAGCACATTTGGTATGCTTTCTAAGACGACCTGTTTTATACTGCTGCAAAGCAGAATTTATTTTTAAAAAAATTAAATGAGAAGACAAAACTGTCTGCGGCTTTCATCGCGACATTTGGTGTATGGACGACAAAAATTAAATTTCATGAATGTCTACTATATATATCCCAGTGCACTTGAAATTAAAAAAATACCATATCTTTTTCATATTTTGATGATTTACTGGCTGTAGACGATAAAGACAAACTAACACGTAAATGTCAAACTAGATGAACAGCTTTTCCATCGTTAACTATTCTAATTTATGTAGTATGAGAGTTACTAGTACTTCTAAGGGAATAGTGGGTGAGCCCCAGTGCCCCCTACAGGCACCTATTTGAACCCTGTTAGTATCCGGTACCACTCTGACTATCCCTTTTTTATGCGCTCGGATCGATAGATCCCGGGCGTATATTGTTTTTGTCCTGTCTGTTTGTCTGTTTGTCTGTTTTTCTGTTTATCTGTTTGTCTGTTTGTCTGTTTGTCTGTCTGTCTGTTGTCAACTTTAACCTTGGCCATAACTTTTGAACAATAAAAGATAGAGACTTCATATTTGGTATGCATACTCCACTAATAAAGTCCTTTCAAATGACATCAAAGTCAATGACCTTGTGACCTTGACTGTGACCTATATACTAAAAATAGCTTTTTCCACTGTTTGTCATAACTTTTTAACCATAGGATATAGGGACTTCATATTTGGTATGCATACTCCACTAATAGAGTCCTTTCAAATGACATCAAGGTCAATGATCTTGTGACCTTGACTGTAAACTATATGCTAAAAATAGCTTTTTACACTTTTTGCCATAACTTTTGAACCATAGGAGATAGGGACTTCATATTTGGTATGCATACTCCACCGATTAAGTTCTTTCAAATGACATCAAGGTCAATGACCTTGTGACCTTGACTATGTTACATGCTGAAAATAGCTTTTTCCACTGTTTGTCATAACTTTTGAACCATAGGAGATAGGGACTTCATATTTGGTATGCATACTCCACCGATAAAGTCCTTTCAAACGACAGTAAGGTCAATGATCTTGTGACCTTGACTGTGACCTATATGCTAAAAATAGCTTTTTACACTTTTTGCCATAACTTTTGAACCATAGGAGATAGGGACTTCATATTTAGTATGCATACTCCACTGATTAAGTTCTTTCAAATGACACCTTGACTGTGATCAATATGCTAAAAATAGATTTTTTGAACTTTGTTGCCGCCGGGCGCATAGTGTTTCACAAACACATCTTGTTCCTTATTAGAATAATTAGTGTGATCCAGACCCGATAACTTAATGACAATCAGCAATTCACACCTCCCTGCCATGGACGATTCCGCAATCAAACTCGCATTACAATACCAATCTTCAGTGACCGTGTTTTCTAACATCTTCACATATTTGCAATATTTATATTTTTTTTATACCGATCACTGTTTATTATATCCACATGTCTAATTATATGCCAATGATTGTAGTGAAAATTACCAGAGTAGAACAAACCAACACACTGCTTTATCAAAGGATGCATGGTAAGTACTGCAACTCTTCTAAAGATTGATTGATTGATTGTATATTGTTTAACGTCCCTCTCGAGACCCTTCTAAAGACATATGAATGGTTAATATAAAGTTCAGGGCATTGATACGTGTATCTTTCAAATTCAATATCAAATATTGTACTGTAAACCAACTTTTATTCGCGTGCGAGAGATTTTCGCGAGGTTCGCGAGAGCCTCGTCAGCGCAAATATTTCTCGCCGCGAACGGGTCTCGAAAGTCTCTTTTACTATTAAAAACCTTTCCAAAAACGACTTGATTGCTGAATTAATCGTCGCGAACTAGTTTACTCCCGGTTAATCGCGAAATAAAGTCGTCGCGAATAAAAGATGGTTTACAGTAATTTGGGTATTATATTTTACATTTAGAGTAAGTAATAATAAAAAAAAAATTATAAAATGAACTTGATTGGTCAGGTTATTAAATCCTTTGAAGCCCTGAAGGCTTCTTACTAGATCGTATCACGCACCAATCAAGTTCATTTCCAAGTAAACTATTTGACATTGTTATTATTGTTTTACAAACAGCGTGACAGTTTGCTTTATAGGGCGTGCTAAACTTTTGTATACCGATAATCATTTTACTCATCGATTGGATGTTTGATTTCAATGGAATCAAAAAAACTTTGCATATGAAACAGAGAACCCGACAATACCCTGACAATACTGACCAATCGTATTGAATCACATGTTTACTACCATACAGTAAACAATAATTACACGTGGACGGACAAAACAAGTTTTACAACCTATAATGATGATATTGATAGCTACATAGTACAACAGCATTCTATTCTATTCTTTGAATTTTCTTGTACGTATATAAAACCATGCAGTCAAATCATACCAAATAAAATACATGCTTTTTTAACGAGGCTCGGGGATGGCAGCCATTTTTAGACTATTTCAATCTCCTTTAAAAGGAGAGCTCCATTTAAAGATATTCAAAAAGATAAAATTTTAAAACTAAAATATATGAATTTTTTCTTTGCCAAATGATAGTTGACAGCTAAATATACCGTATATGAAAAAAATGAGTTAAATCTGGTGGTTAATTTGGGATTGAATTGTTGACCCGCCAGCCTCCTTAAGGACAGAGAACGGGCTTTGACTGACCACGTGTTGTTGGTGAGTACAAATGCCGCACTGGTGAACGATCATTCAATGTGATTGGCCAGTATTCTCAGGACATTGTTGTATTCTGAGTTTTATATGCAAATTAGTATTGATTCCATTGAAATAAAGCATCCAATCACTGAGTAAAATGAAAATCAGGTCAAACAATTTTAGCACGCCCCATCTAGTAAACTGTCACGCTGTTTGTAAAACAATAATATTTATTACCTGTACTTATATTTGAGACGAGCATTGATTAGAAATTTTACATGTATGGCCCACTGTATCACTATGTGGAACGCACATGTACGCAGTGTCTTAGAATTTAGTAAGTCACTAATTTCGAATGTTAATTCACTGATGTTCACAAATTATAGAATTTTGAATGAATTTAAATTGATTGGTACTGAAAATTTTGTTACCTTCTAATTATCAAAGCAGTTGTTCAGCAATGTATTCCAGCGAGAAACATCTGTTTTAATTTACATTAAAGGAACTTTGGGATACGCCGAGATTTTAGTAACTTTTTATATTTTGATATACATTGATTTTTAAAAACAATATCTAATGAGCAGCTTTTGATAAAAATATCAATGTTTATAAATATTTTTCTACGTTACTGCTTTTAAGAAGTTCTGTAGTCAGAGTACTTTCGCGCTGTGTTATTTACCCACGGTATGATTTCTGACCCTTGATTAGTTCAATAGAATTAAAGATAAAGGCTTTGAATTACAAACATCAAAGGAACATATTTGCAATTGTGTATTGTCTTTAGTCGCTCCATAGCGTCTCTTTTCCATATACTACTGCATCTTATTAATGTTCGCAAGAGTGCAGAGGTCACATAAATAAATTTCATATAAAGTATTTTTCAACTCCAGTTTCCTCCTGATTTATATTGAATTTTCGCTCAAAATCTTTCATTGTCTGAGATCTATGCTTGGAGACACGAAACGTATGTTCATTAGTACTTTCTGGTAGTGGTGATTGGGTGATTTGTTTAGTTGGTTGAAATAGTAAACAACAAAGGTTTGATGTTATTGCAAGTTGTCCATCACCACATAAAGTATTGTCATTTACAAACAATCCATGAAATAAACTACTCCTATGAATATTCTGATTTAAAATGAGATATTATTAGTCTAGATTTTGATAAGCCGCTTTTAAATGAATGTATAAACATGTATTGGTAATATGCCTACACTGCTTGAAAAAACACCTTTACAAAACTTTACTTGTGAAGTAAATTTCATTAAAGGTGCTCCCAAAAGCAAGGTCATCTTTGTATTAACTTTACAAAAAGTAAAGGTGAAAAGGTAACCTTTAATTACACGAAAAGATAATTAAATATAACCTTTCACCTTTTATGCCATATTAAAGTTCATTAAATATATTGTAGAAAATTCTTATTTAAATGCTGACTATTGTTTAATACACTTATTCTTTGGAAATTAAATATAACCTTTCACCTTTTATGCCATATTAAAGTTCATCAAATATACATATTGTAGAAAATTCTTATTTAAATGCTGACTATTGTTTAATACACTTATTCTTTGGATTTTCACAGTTAGTTTAAAGAATCTAATCTAGTCAGTACCCAGAATTTTAAGACAAATGTCATATATTGTTTTTATTATCTTGTATCCATTTCCAGTGGAAATTAGTATTAGAAATGGTCATCTACAGATTCAAACACTCGACTCAAACACTTGACAGACTACACCTCAAATGATGTAAGCCAGGTTAGCTTAGTTGGAGCAGCTGGCGTTTATTTTGATACATGTAACAAAACATAAATTTTTAATATACATTACATTGAATGTGAAACAATAAAGCACTGCAATGCATTTGCAAAATAATTTACATGTAATAAATTGTATCCCTATCACTGACATTAAAAACCGCCCAGGCAAAAACCATAGATGGTTAACTATGGAAAACCTGTGTCCGTCGCTATGTAAATAATGTCTCAAAGGAGAATGCCGGACGTGCATTCGGTGCAATAGTTAAAAATGCATGAACATCCTATAATATTTGCATGTATGAAAAAATCAAAATTAAAATACATTTCAACAGTTTTGTTATTTCCATTACCAGTATATTTATACAAATATGATATATATAAAGCAAAAAAAAATGTGTGTGTATTGAAGAGCTCTGGCTTAGAATGATATGAACATATTACTGAATACTCATTTCTCATTGGCTTTTCTTTGGCCACGCCCACATATACAACCAAAACCATTGATATACATTCCTCGCATACAAAGTATTCCCGCTATACTGGGAAACACAGGAAAAAAATATTATCTGCACCAGGATTGCCTACAACTCTATGAATTGGATGACATAGATCTTTAATATGTACATTGATATTAATGATAAAGTAATTAAAAATATAACAATGGGAAAAATTGGCATACTGATATTTTTCATTTTCCAATCAAAAATGATCTAAAATATTCTGTATTTTTGCTTCTCATAATATGATGAGTCAGATATACAGCACAAACAATATCCAGTTATAACCTTGAATATAAACATTATATTGAGCTATCTTTGACTTTTGTTTTCCTTTACACATTCAGATGCATGTGAGAAAAAATAAAAAAAAGAAATACAGATGACAAGTATAAATTTCACATTTCTGCTTATGAAATGGAGGTCTAATTTCACTTTAAAATATAATACTAATACATGTACAATATTTATTCTTTCTGGTGCATGTACATATATAAAATAAAATTTGCAGTTTAAATTGAATTAAAAATGTGAAAAAAATTACATAAAAGGCTATTTGATTTGCACTTATTATACACAGGCTAATAACATCTTCAACTTGTAATGCAAAATGATGCATTTTACATATTCACAAACACAAAATATGGTGAAAAATCTATTAGAATAGATGCGGGGATGCAGTTTGCAAAATGCATGAGATCATGTATGAGTCCAGCTTCACCCCATGAGCCTGTCTATGCTTGATTTAGTTTAGATTTGTTTTTATGTCTGTGGTAAATGTTAGTGTGTTTGCATATGTGTCCAGCTTCACACATTTTCATGTATGTGCTCACTTCACATGGAAAATATGTAATAGGTTGTGTTAGATGCTTGTGTGTTTGCATATGTGTCCAGCTTCACACATTTTCATGTATGTGCTCGACTTCACACGCCTTGGAAAATATGTAATAGGTTGTGTTAGATGCTTGTGTGTTTGCATATGTGTCCAGCTTCACACATCTTCATGTATGTGCTCGACTTCACATGCCTTGGAAAATATGTACCGGTAATAGGTTGTGGCAGATGCATGTGTATTTGTGTATGTGTCCAGCTTCACACATTTTCATGTATGTGCTCGACTTCACACACCTTGGAAAATATGTAATAGGTTATGGTAGATGCATGTTTGCATATGTATCCAGCTTCACATATTTTCATGTGTTTGTTCGATTTACACGTCATAAATGTAAAATATGTAACCAAAATGGTGTAAAACATTTACAAGTGTATGATGCACAAAGAGAAAAAAAGTTCTGTGTGTTTTGTTCTGCAAAAAAATAAATTATGTCCTGTTGAGAAACTGACAATCAAAATAAAGTAACATATTCATTTTACATAACTGTACTGAAAATCACACATCCAGTTTAAATTACTGTACTGAAAATTGAATTTGTGCAAAAACTCTGAATGAATAACATTTAAAACCAAGAATGCTTGCATGTTCATCTATAAATCTCCAAGATATTTACTAGTTAGTTTGTAGCGCCGCATCAGGCAGTCTTATAACACATTTCATAATGTCAGTTTGCATGAATAAATCAATTTATCCTTGTTCCTCATATCTTGCCGAAATTCTAGTCTACAGTTTATTTACACAGCACATCACAAAAAGAAACATTCAGGAAAAATAATTCACTAAAAATAAAATCCAAGTTAAATAATCACATGTACATATAAATCCAAGAAATATTAGGTTATATTCCAAGTAAGTAAGTAACTTTATCTATCTCTAACAGTTCTATCTACTAAGTCTTCTATATTTCCATCTTCCTATCTTATTCTAAAATTCTGTCGCACTATATATATACACCTGTACTCAAGATCCGCTCCTGACGATCAGGAGCACATTACATGTATAAGATCCTTAAGATCAGGAATCAATACACAGGTCATTACAATCAGCAGGGGGTTATATAAGAGGGGGCGATTAATATACAGATAAGATGATAATGTGTGAACAATTAAGTATTGAAGAGTTATATTACAGATAAGATATTCTAAATCACTACAAGTTTACAAATTTTTGATCATATCATTGATAACAGTACATTTTCTTGATCATGACATCTGTTTTGGATTCCCCTCTCTTACATCTTTTCTTGTTCATCAATTAGTTCAACAGTCATCTGGGTACTCAGGTGTTGTACAAGTCCTAATAATAATAATTTTCAAAATTATAAAGAAAAAAAAAATACAATTTTTAAATAGGTTTTCATTACTTCTATTGAAATTAAAGCACAAGCTTTTGAAGACATACTTAAGTAACAACACATGTATAACTAAACATAATGGAAATTTAGACAAAGCGACTCAATGTCAAACATATGATAGTGATACATCTGTAATATCTATGAAACTTACTGAGATACTTAAAATGTTTATGGTGTGCTTTCACTAAGCTTAGCAGTATATAAACATCTCTTGATTAAATGTTGAAGACCAATCCTCACCTGACTTGCACATTCATATGGATTGGTTCTATGTTGATAATCTCTTTCAACAATCGTCATCACAACATCTGAAGGTCATCAATCTTCAAAATTAAATCTGATGCTCACCTCTCAAGTGTATATAGACTCCCTGTACAAATGCATGGAAAATAAGATTTTGAATAAAAAATGAATTATCTCCATATCACCATACCTGGCCTCTTTTTTTTGTTAAAAAATGAGAGCGAAGCTTTATATTGAATGAAAAATGCATTGTTCCTCTACTTAAAAAAAATCAAAAGGCATTACCTAAAATGGAAATAAGGTACAACTGTGACTGGTGTCTCAGGCACAACCAATATACACAAGACCTTTCCATCCTTAGCAGCATGCATTAGCTCCACATTCCTTGCATCTGCAAAAATATACAATGAAAATTTGTTAAAAAATGAGAGTGAAGCTTTATATTGAATGAAAAATGCATTGTTCCTCTACTTAAAAAAAATCAAAAGGCATTACCTAAAATGGAAATAAGGTACAACTGTGACTGGTGTCTCAGGCACAACCAATATACACAAGACTTTTCCATCCTTAGCAGCATGCATTAGCTCCACATTCCTTGCTTCTGCAAAAATATACAATGAAAATTTGTTAAAAAATGAGAGCGAAGCTTTATATTGAATGAAAAATGCATTGTTCCTCTACTTAAAAAAAATCAAAAGGCATTACCTAAAATGGAAATAAGGTACAACTGTGACTGGTGTCTCAGGAACAACCAATAAACACAAGAACTTTCCATCCTTAGCAGCATGCATTAGCTCCACATTCCTTGCTTCTGCAAAAAAATATATACAATGAATATTTTTTTAGAAATGAGAGCCAAGAGTGTAACATGTACTTCGGGGAACAGAGGAAGGAATTTTGAAGTCAGATTAGTTATATTTCTGCCAGTGTTGGCACGGGCATAGTATCCGGGGGGGGGGGGGTTTGCCCCCCCCCCACTTTTTTTTTCCAAACCAACATACACTTTTAGAAATGTACCAAAAATGTAGTATAAGAATTGGAACTAAATGTAGTTATCACTGAGAGAAAGTTACCCCCCCCCCCCCCCCCCCCACCACCACCACCCCCCCCCCCTTTATTCCCTGCCCCCCCCCCCCACTTTCAGGTAAAAAAAAAAAAAAAACGATGCTACGCCACTGGTTGGGACGGATAATTTTCCATAATTAAATGAAACAAATTATGCGCAACAAATAAGACACATGTATTACCTTGCAGTCACCGGCCCACATAATGTATACAACTGACAACATCCCAAATCCCTTTCTTTGTTGTTTACTTGGCGGAATTTTCTTTGCCTTCTAGACTGGTTCTCAGCTCTGGTTCCCATACATTGCCGTGAATAAGTCCTACGTTTATTGGTTTTGTTTACAAGCTTCAACATCAATAAAATCTCCAGCACATTTACAGCTTGTATTGTAAACTAAACTGAAAACATATTTTACACAAAATTTTTAGCTCAGTATTATGTTATCCTCTTCATTCAAGTAATATGTAAACTCTTCTCGAATGTAAAACGAACGATCTACTCTGAACAGTAACCCAAATATGGCACTGTGTATTCGGTTGAATAGCCAATCATTTCAAATCAAGTTGAGCGGGTCTGCATCGTTATTTTGACGAAGTTTGAAACCAGTGGTAATTTTTTGACACTTCATCTAGATTTAAGAAGATTCTTGCCTGAACAACTGTTCGAACTCCCGAGTTGACATGCTCTAAAGGTTTGTTTACGATTTCCAGCCGTTTTTACTTTCACTTTCAGATCAGTACATTGTGCATGTTGTGAAAGAATTAAACTAAACAAAGTCACGGAAAACGACGCTTTGTATGTTATTTTCTGCTAGGATATTAGATAAGTACTTTTGATAATTCTGGGATTAAATGTTTATGTGCGCCACTTTATTCTGTTAAGGTGTATGAATCATAGGGGCTTGTCTGCCGGATTGATAAATGTAAAATATTTTTAAAAATTTGTATCTACATTAACCATGTTAACTACACTCTAAAAGTTGCTTTAAATTAATAAAGATTTTGATCAGGCAAGAAAAATAATGTTGTAAGAAAAGTGCTACACTTATCAGGGACCTATATATACTAATCTATATACATGTACATAAATTCTCAACTTTGAGAGTTTATTTATTTTTATTTATATCATTTTGTATTTTAAACTGTGTCCATTTTCTTAAAACACAGGTATAGTGAATTCAGTATGCAGATTATTGAAGGGAAAACATCAAGACGGGGCAAGGAAGACAACAAAACATGATTACCCAGATTGAGGATCTCAGTGTTCTTTGGTACAAACACATTTTAATAATAAATTTCATGAAATCTGTTACTTGAACAAACATTTACATTATTTAGTGCTTGAATTGCTCGGGAGTCAATATCGTCATATATTTGTAAAAAAAAAATGTTCAATTTCCTTTGTATAGTCTCAAGCTACTCAGCCTACCATGAGAAAATTAAAAGATCTGTCATGAAGAAGAGGCTGGTTCTCAACTTTCATATTATAAATGGCAAGTATTGTTTAGAACTAAATTTAGATTATTCTTGATAAAAAATAACATAAGGGTTTTTGTCAATTCATAGCTATTATTTGTGATTGCACTGTGTATTAATTTTCAAAATCAATTCATTCTCTGGTGACCAAGTGCAGCAGTTTGCTTCAAACTCATAATTTTTTTTTAAAAATATTGACTATATTTGTCCATATGTACAAAATGTTAATCACGGTATGAATTCTATTTCAGCATGATTGTCATTTTCAATTTGAAGGACTCTCACCTAAAGTCCTTTTACTGTTCCATATCAGGAAAAAGGTCATGAGCTGAAACATGCAATTGGGGAAAAAGGTACATATATCCTAAACCATAACTTCAGTATCATTCTTTATACATGTACAGCTAAATTAAATACCGTATAAGTGGAAATTTTAGCGAGAGGCAAATTTTACGATTTGTCCTTTAAAACTGGTAATTTATTTTAGCGAGATGCTATTTTAGGGACTTTAAAATGCACATTTAAGAAACTAATACAAATAAAACGCAATTAATTTTTAGCAATATTTAATTTTAGCTATCTCAACACCCTTGCTTATAATGCCAAAATTAAATCCTCGCTAAAAATTCTACTTATACGGTATGTAGCACAATATTGTTCTCTTTGTAAACTGACAACTGAGTAGTCAGGAAACCTATGATTTCTCAATATTTCAGGGATTTATTCTTTGTTTTTGTGTAGTACCCTTAAAAAATACATATTTCTCAAATTTTAATTTATAGGCTTTTTGTGATAAGGGATACATGACCTAACCCATTGATTCTTCATATAATATGTCAATAACAAGAGTTCCACTCATCTTATTAAATTAATAAATTTACATTTTTTGCTTTTTGAGGTTAAAGGTCATGTATGAACTGTTTATTTATTAGTAAGGTTGTGCTTTTTTTTTAGTTTTATTTATCATGGTATTGTGAATTCTGATAACACAAAGCCGTTGAAAATATTCATACTTATGCATGGCACTGAAAAAAATACTTTTTTTTTCTTTTAGGAAAAGCATTAGGAAAATGCCTGCATGGGGAGAAAAGTTTTGAACTCTGAAAAGGGAGGTGTGACAAAAACATTTTGACAGTTGTTGATTTCCACTAAAACCAATATCAATAAGAAAGAGGACATAAAATAGTTTTATGTTGATTCACAACTTTAAATTCAAGAATGAACAGTTGGTTTTATTATAAAACATGTCACATACAAAAAAAAAAACATATTTGTGAAATGTACTATGTCTTTGATATGTATGTAATTTGCAGGATAGGATGTGGGCAACATATACTGCCAAGAATCTTGATGATTTTGTTTTTATGTTTGTAAAAAATAATGTTTTGTATTGTAATAAACAAAGTTAAAGTCAGCTTTTTCTTAATATGTATATTAATTATGATGTTTACATTTCCGCAACTTATCAATTTGGAAGGAAAACTTATTCATAATTTGAATAAGGCTTCATTCACTGGAATGGAAAACGGAAATTATTAACTTTTGTGGTTATTAAATATGGTATTTAATTAAATTTAAGGTTTGTAATTATCAGATTGTGGTTATTAAAGATGGTATTTAATTAAATTTAAGGTCTGTAATTATCAGATTTAATATATCCTAAATACTGTCTTTAGTGGTTGTAAATATTAACTTTACTTTTTTGTAAAGTCAAGACAATGTGGGACATTACATCATATTTAAGTGCATGTAAAGTTAATGTAAAGGTTACCTTTTCCAACTTTGACTTTTTTCAGAAAAGCCAATTAAAGGCATTGTAAATAATAAATTTACATTATCTTTACTTGTTTTGTAAAGCCAAATTTTCACGCAGTGCTAGAATAAGGAATTTTGTCATTGAATATAAAAATGAACTTATGAGAGTTTGTTTTTAAGCCAAACAGTTGGACAGAAGTTCTTTTCCATTATCTTGGTATGTTCAACTCTTTCGCGACGCTATATGAGCGCTTTTTAATTTTTAACGGTTCTTATGTTCTATTGACATGTTGAAACGTCCAAGTACTTAAATGCATTCAAGCATCTCTTGGAATATTCGCTCCACGCCTTTAAATATTCTTTAAAAGCATTTACACGTCGTTTATATCATATTGAATCAGGTCTTTATATGGCGACTAATTTCGTTGCTATTGAGTCTAAGGTTTGGAATGGCATCTACATTTTCTCTATATGAGCGCCAATTTTAAATTCTAAACAATTTTAAATTGACAGGGCTTTTGTCAATTTACAGAACTTTTATTATTTTCATCATTTTTTCTTATGGAAAAAAAAGGTTTTATGTTGGCATTGGACTTTTATTTAGTTTTGTTTGACAACTGCGAGGATTTTCCCAAAAAGTCGTAGACAATGTTTATAATTTTCTAAACATGCGACCAATACTAACAAAAATTTGCATAGACATGATATATTAAATGTTCTTTACAATTGTAAATTTTTAAATATATGTCTTTCATATTAATAATATTAGGACGATTTATTTGAAGGCCAATCAGGCCTGTAGGCACACCAACAAAATTCAGAATAATTTACGCATTTAATTATTACATTTGCTTTTATTTCTAAAGTAATATGTAATACAAAGCACTCAAATTTAAATCGCTGAAACCAGAATCAAATCTTAATAATATGTCAAAATTTTATTCGATAGCATTAGAAACAGACGTCGCCAAACCGGCGCATGGAAATGTAATAAATTCTGTTGGATATGGCTTATATACATCAGAGACGGAAAAAAAGAGTACAAAAGTGACATTAGACACCAGATTTTAATAAAGAAGTTATTTTTTAAATGGTATGATATTCAATGAGAGTTTTTCCTCTATACTGAAAATATTTACGGCATGCAAGAAGTAGAATACTGTTTTATAAACGCAGACAATTGAGAACAATCTGGTCTGCAAACGACGTCAAACAATGCTTTTTCGCTGCCTAAGGCGATGTTTCGACTAAGTTTTGACAGAATTTTGAATCTGCTTAAAAAACAAACAAATGAAAAACAAATTAGTCCTTAGTCAATATAATGATCTATCGCTTTAAAAATATATTGAATAAGACGCGAGTGAAGCAGACAGAGATCATGACGTTATAAGAGACGCAATTTACGCATGCTTTCGTGCGCCGTTGTACACTTATATTCTTTCTTTATTTTTTACATTATTGTTCTCATTAGATGTGATATCATCATGAAGCTTAAAATGCATAATCATAAAATGTTACTTTTTGCTTTGACAAGGAAAAAAATTCAATTAAGCGAAGAGAGACTAAACAGTTTTCCCTGTCTACGACTTTTTAGGACAACCCTCGTACATTGATGTTTAAGACACACACGTGTCTATAGAATTTCGTACCTTGTCAGTGCGTGTGTAAAAAAAAAAGTTCACGTACAAAAAAAAATACAAAAAGCTGCCTTAGATAATTGTTGGCTTCAAAATATCGAAAAATGTGAAATGCAGTAAATTGCAAGGGATACATGAAGGTGTTCATTTTTTTTTTGTCAATAACATTCTCAATCATTAGAAACGTTCTCTATCAAGATTCTATCCTCAAGATTCTATGTTCCACTATACAGTCATGTATGTCGCCTTTATCATGTTTATCTTTTAAACAGTTCTTGAATATCTTTTATGTCTGTATACAGGTATCCATGTTTTAAAGCAATTTTTTATTCATATGTAATATTTCCTTTAGATAACAAGAGGTACATTGATGATCAGCTACCTTTAAAATTTCAAGGTAAGTGATTTTAAAAGTAATTCTGTAATATAAAAAAAACAATCAAAAATCAGACAAGCAGAACAAAGGGTAAACATTTTCAGACGATCAAATCAGATGCCTTCTTATATACTTTAGTAAATACATGAAAGACAAACTCTCGGAAAATGAATTTTATGAAGTTTTTATCCATATATCAGGAAGACCAACGATAATTTATGATCGAATGAAATGATCTTAAAAACATGATTAATTCAGGTCAAATATAACTGCAATGAACATTAGTGTAAACGATTTATTTTTATAAAGAATTTTTTAGCATACGTTAAAGCCCATGAAATTTGGAAAATATATGAACTGTTTATGAATATTAACGTTGCAGAGATTTATGTTCTTAAGAATGAAAGTATAACACTCGTATCTTAAATAACCCACAGTAATATTACCTAATTTTCTGAGTTCCTCTGAGCGATTCTAATCATTTGTTTTGTTCGATTGGACCTTTAGCATGCGTGCTTTTCTCTGAACGTGTCATTTGTGCTATCTAAATATTAATATTTATATTCTGGTATTTTTTTTTACAGAGCATGAACAGATACTTCTTTCAGCCATAAAAGGTACAAAACAGAATAATGTCATTTACATTACAATTTAAAATATTTTCAATCACAAAAGAATTCATTTTGATTTGAAATTATTGTCTTTGTACTTTAAATTGGAGAATTGTCATAATTGTGTATCGAATATTTTCATTTAGGAATTATCACAGAGGAGTCAAAAAATTTACGAGGTAATTAAATGAAATAGACGTTTTAATAACGTATGAATATGAACATATGTACAACATATTTATATTATTAAAAAATAATCAAAGTATGAAAGTTAAAGAAAAGGAAAACTGAACGGAAATTATATTAAGGTAGGTTGCGGGATTGCTTTTGTCATCAGTTTTGGTACACGATTTCGACGATTCGAGTGGCTGTTCTGTGCATATTTGATTATGACGTCAATGACGTCACAAAGGCAACGTTGCGTTGTTTCCCGTTTAATTCTCTGCAAATGACTCCAATACTGTACGAATCAAGTAGATTTAGTTCATGCTATTGTACGTAAACCTCGTACATGTTTTATTATTGAATTTCTGTGTGAATTTCGATTTGATATTCTGTAATGTCTTAGGACAAATGAAATACAATACCAAATAAAAGGAATAATTAAATTGTAAGTGTAATTAAACTTCTAAAAGTCAATCAGAATAATTCATCATAAAAGCTATATATGATATACAGAAAGAAAGTTATCATAAATAAAATTGCTTGGCGGAAAGCATGAGGGGTTGTTTGTGCGCATGTTATTTGATACTCAAGGGACATACATATTGCATCATGATTGCCAATCAAATCCGGGCAAAAATATGAGTATAATTTTCAGGATGGAATCAATCCGCAACACTAAAAACGGTTTAAATTTAATTACATGTATTTTCCTGTTTTTTTTTTTATCCTAACCATTATTATAATTATTTGCTTAATTTATCATGTATTTTTTCAAAATCTCGTTTAGTTTCCTTGTTTTGCTGGGTAACAAATTTTGGAATACATTTAAAACAGTCCGAAATTAATTCAAAAACTTGGACTTTTAGACCTATATGATCTGTAAATATTTATCTGTTTATATTTTATAAAAGAAGCTCTCAGTGTAAAAGTGAAATACAAGTGTTTTAAATGTTTGAAAGTTAGGGTTATATACAAGCTTGCGACCAGTAAAGAAGAACAAAGCACCCCCCCCCAACCCCAACCCCACCCCCCCCCCCCCCCACCCCCGGCTAATTTCCTCAGTATCGGGATGTTTTTTTTTCATTTTCGTTTTCGAATAAAGTCATCAGATTCATGTGTTAAGCCTGAAATTCTATTGACCGTGAATTTTCTAAAATACAGGAACTTATATTTTATCACTTGCGTTGTCGCTACATGTTAATTCTCATGCACGATGAATGTTTACACCGTTCAACCTGACTTTGATTTCTTTGATTTTGACTTCTGATCTCAGAATATGAATTTCACAATACTAGTAAAAATAAGATGCTAGTCATCCTAATATGTCCCCGCAAAAGTTACATGATGAATAAAATTAAATGCTGCATGTATGTCACCTTTTAAATGCTACATTATCCAAATGTCAAGATATTCATACTCGTGCTGTTAACGTGACTACGTTCAATATATGACGTTGTAGACATAAATAACGCAATAAACGCAACATTTTAGCAATATAAGAGCAGATTTTGAAATTATTTAGCAAAAAATCTACCGATAAGAAATAATAATTTTTTTATATCAATAGATTAGATTTTACCTCATCTCAACATTTTAAAATTCCTGACTAATTCTTCTAAGTCTTTAAAAAAAGTTATCCAACCTTTCTAAAAGAGGCTATATACACAAAATTGGCTTAAAACGTCATTTCCCCATGTATTTCAATGGTAACGTGTAATAAAAGTACTAAAAACTATACTGCGTTTACAGTAACATAGCATTAAAACTACGTGGACATATTTAATAAAAATTGCAGATAATACGCAGTAAATTCTAAGGAACATTATGTCTAATTGTCAGGATATGTTTTCTATGAACTTTTATGCAGTAAACCCGCGACCTACCTTAAATGTTGTGTTGCATTTATCTTTCTTTTTTTAAACGGACTGAGATGTCAAAATATCAATACATATCTTAATATATATTATAGTTGTGCTGCATTCTTTTCTGAAACGTAATAAGATGTCAAAATATCAATACATATTTTACTTAATATATAAAGAGATATAAAATAAAAGTGAACAAATTCTTATTTATTTTTCTTAAGTGTTAGTAGTACAAATTAAATGGAATTCAAAAAGTACAACGAATATAGTTTCAGGATGTCAGTTTAAAATATTTATATTAACATTAGAGAATTGAATTGTTATTTACAGATGGTTTTAAGAGACACGAAAAGGAAATGGAAGGCATTTCATTCCTTTTTTATTAACAACATTGGTTAACAAACCATTCTTTTTTTTCTACTAATAATGATGCTAGATATCTTACAAAAAATTCCGTAAATATAATTAACGAATAAGGCAGTTGGACTAAGTTGCATCATTATCGTAGTAACCTTTGTTTTGCATTTTAGACACAAATTAGCATAAAATTTTGAATTTATTTTTTTTTAATAAATGAATACAGTATAAATTACACTGTACTTGAGACACTGTATTGAATTCTGCTATTATTCTACATGAATCTTAAGGTCTAAATTGAAAATTCAAATAATATCTTTCAGATGACTTTAAGAAACACAAACAGGAAGTGCAAGGTATTAATGTTTTCATTTTTTTGTAAACTGAATAGTTTTGTGAAGGAATAATCCAAAGGAGACTTGAAAAATATTTAAGGTATGTCACTCGTCAACTTTTTAGAAAAATTCACGCAGATATTTTTCCTTCTTCGAAACTATTTATTTGAATTCAATTTTTATAACATATTCAAATTCAACAATTCAAAAACTGC